TGGTTCCACGATCAACGCACTCATGCCCTGATTCCTTCTCTTCTTCTTGGGAGCATGGACGAATTAGCGTTCTTGGCTAACTCAGATCAGAAAACGCAGCTCTCCTTGGTGGAGATTCATGTATATGTTTATTCAGTGCAGATTACACACAGCCCTGGGAATAAGTAACAAGAAAAAAAACAACAACCGTAGTACATATATACTGTATGAAATTTTAAAATCAGGAGGAAAAGAAATCTCAGTTGACTCACTCATTTCCCCCCTCTCCACTCTGGCTTCCTTTGACTGGAATAAGGGCTTTTTATTGTAATAAGTTTTGATTCATTTCTCTCCCCCCACCTCCCTCTGTATTCCCAATTAAAAAAAACACAATGGTGCCTCTGGGTCACCTTTCCAAACATGGCTTGGCTTGCAGCTTTTTCAAGTTTAAAAATGTACATCCAAACATTCAACATATAAATATTTACAAATGTACAAAATAAAAACCCAAGAGGTCAGCCCAAATGCTCCAGAGTCAGAAATGAACAATGTAAAAAGAGAAAGAAATAAAAAGCCTGCATTAGATCAACCCCAACGACACTGATGTACAAAGCAAAGGGAAATACAAAAAGGTTTAAGTGTCTGAAGTGAAAAGGGTCACCAGACCCACAGAAATTTCCCCCTTTCTTCTCAGACTGAGAAGGCAATACTTCCTTAATACTTTGCTTAGAGTCCTTTCAAGTATCTTCCAATTCAATTCATCTGGAGGCCCTCACACCATGCCATTATCCAACCATAACTTAGTGAATAAGCTATCACTGGCTGGGAACGCATTCCACTAAGTTGCAAGCCAGCCAGCCGTCTTATGGCGTAGCATGATGTGCGAATAGCAATTTCATATGAGCCTTTCAGAAAATAATATATTTTTCTCTTTTTCCCCTTCCCGATTTTGGCTGAAAGTTGTATTTTTTTCACCCATTCCTTGTGTGCAGGTATGTGTGGGTGTGAGAGAGAGAGACCTGGGATAAAGGATGTGATGGTGACTGATCCTCTAAAGCAGGGGGGCTGACAATGTGTGACCATTTGGCCAATTAAACCCATCAGCAGCTCACTTATTTTGGACCAAGCCCCACTCAGCCTGTAATTGATTTTAAAGATTGAATTAATATGAAATGACATAAACACGGTTAATTGGATGACTCATCAATCGAACCAATTCCCTTTCTATCAGTTAAACTTTTGGAGGAGTTCCAGGAGTCCATATGCCAAGAGGGGCTAGTATTTCAAACAGCAGGATCTCCAAAATATTGCCCAAAGGGTTAGACTGGCATTAATCCTGAGATAACCTTTCCCTCCACTAGAGGGCAGCAGGGAACCTGTGCTGACATGGGGACTTTTCACTGCAGACAAGCATGCAAGGCCGTTTGGGCAATGGCGCCTTATCTGCCTTTTTAAGAAGGGGAGCAGGCAGGGCTGATGTCAATATTGGGCCCCTTCATGTCTGCTGGACTCATGTCTGCTCAAAGATGCTGGATGAGGAGTTTGGACTGGTCTTGTACATGTGGAAAAGTCATATGCATGTCTACTGGTATGAACACCAGGCCCCTTCCCTCAAGGATGCGGTCAACACATGACAGAGAGGATAAGCTATTTAATCAGAGCAGAAAGAGAGATCAAAGATATCTAATCTAACCTCTCCTTCTGTAGCAGAGGTTCTGCTTAAAACTGCTTTTAAAGGGTCAACAGAAGAGCTAACTGTATAGCTGGAAGTAGGAGCCAAGTTTCCCCTTGGGGTATTCCATTTTACCTTTTTTCCAAATTCATGCCCAATCTGGAACAATTGCTTTTACAGCAACCTGAAAGATTTTCTGGCCCAATCTGTTAATCCTAGAGCTGTCCAGGTACATCTGTTCTTGAAAGTGAAGGCAATCCAAGTCTATTCTTAGGAAAGTAGGGGTCAACAACTCTAGCTTGGAGCTTCTTTGGACTGGTTCACCCAATCCTCTAAAGAAGCCATTCCAGCCTTTTTCAGGAGGCGAGTAAGGATCCATCAACCCACATGGAAAATTGGTCAGGGGAGGGAGGAATCACTTTTCTTAATTTCTAGAGTTGAATTATATCTTAGGAAAAAGAAACCCTAGGATTCCTGCTCTGCATTTGTGTTCTAATGGCAATGTAGGCAGTTTTATGGAATAATCAACAGATGGAGAGTAAGCATTTGCACAGAAATGGGAGGTGGGAAGGAAGCTTGGCCCTGTTTGCTGCCGTGTGATTTCCATGTGCAAAGCCACACACCCACATATGTGGTTCTGTCTTTTTGCAAACATCTGTTGGTTGACCTTTTAGAGAAATGGCATTAGATAAGTACCTGGAACAAAGCAGGACAACTTTCAGGGGGCAGGGGTAGCACTTAAGTTTCTGGAAGGGCCCCAGTGAGCAGAGCAATGATGCAAAGTGGGCATATGGACCCTGACCAGGATTTCATGTCTATTTACTTTTTTCACTAATTTTGATGGTTTTTGTTTTAAAGCAAAAGTTCATGCTACAGATTGTGCAGGTTCACATCTCAGAATGGCAGGAAGGCTTGCCTTCAGTTAGGGGCAACTGAAGTTGGAAAAATGCCAACAGCCCTGGAGGTTCTGGTTGCCTACCTTGGACATTAAGAGGAGACTGTATTTCCTTGACCATGATCAGTATTTGTGCAATCACACACATGTGAAGATTGCAATTTATCCCCAGTTCTACTACTAGATCCTTTATCCACCATACAGTTAATAAAGGTCAGGCGCACATCCAAAATATCAGTACTGTGTCATTTGCACAAGAGGAACCGTGCAAAGGAAGGCCCCGAGTTCTTTCCCGTCTCTCTAGCCTCAAAGACAGTCTTTAGCCTTCCTTAAGGATTTGGGCCTCCAGGAAGTCAACATTTCTAGATGGGGCTTGCCAAAACTGGACAGCTGAGCCTCACTCCTTGCCCGTCGGGGCTCGGCTTGTCACTGTGGGCCCCAATTTTCGATCCTGCAGCTGGGAGCCAGAGGGCAATTGCCATGCTCAAGGTGAACTGCTGAGAAAGCAGCCTGCAGAGTTTCCCTGATATTTCACCCAGAGAGTTCTTCCTAGCCCAAGGACATCTCTGCCTATTTAAAAAGAAAGCATCAGGCTGAGAGCAAGCCCTTCCCTCAGCAGGTCATGCAACAGCCAAGCGATAAGATAAAGAGGAGCAATTCTGAGTAAAAATAGATCTATCTTCCCCTGACCTTCGCCACATGTGATGGCCTCGGACATGGTGACGTAGATCCAACCCCTTGCAAGGTATTTTGGAAGGCAGAACCTCAGATTTTGGGAAGCTCCCTCCACTGGTTAATCTTAGAGGGAACTGTTTTAGTCTCAGCTTGAGCAACAGATCTGCTATCTTATCCTTTAGAGCAATGTTTCTCAACTTTGGCAACTTTCAGAT